CATAGCCTCAATTATATTAAAATGTTCTGTATAATTCTAGTTAATTACATTTAATACAGACTTGATGATAGCGATAACCATTTTTGAAGCACCGAAAACAATTGAGCGCAGTTCTGTCTTGCGGTTCCCTGTGTCCCATTGTCTATATACAGTGACCTCCCTTTCATTTCTGTCTGGATATAACTGGCACAGTTGGGACAAGACACTTTCAGTGACCAGGTAGCTCAATTTATTTAGAGAGATAGTATATATATAACAATCTGAACTCCAGTGTTCAAACCCCGTCTTAACTCGCTGATTTTTTTTCCACTCCGGACACTGTTCTTGATTGTATTGTTTATTTCGTCTTTATTATTTCTCATAAAACTCCTGCAAGGTACAATTGTCTTTTCAGAAATGATTTATCAAAGATATAGTCATGCCAGAAATACGTTTCTAACACTTAGTTCCAGTTTTTGGCAATGGTGCAGGGATCCTTAAATATGAAATATATATTTACTTGATCGTTTCCGTATGTGTAACCAGGTTAAACCCTTAAAGACGTTTGACAGCATAATGGTAAATATTTATCATTTTACTTCAGGATTGTATTCAATTTAATTCATAATGATTTTTAATCACACTTCTAAATTCATTTTCAATTAGAGGTGAAATTGACCATATTTGACAAATAACAGATATTATGCACCAAAACACAATTTTTGGTTTAAAGCTTTCATCCATGCTTAAAATCAGTAAGATATAACAGTACAAGTCACATATGTGTGCTGTTTATGATATCGCTACAATATAACAATTTATGTTGTTTGTGATTTGTTGAATGAGGTTGGAGATTTGACCTGTAGTAGAGAGTGACCTTTACCTTTTGTGGGTACCGTAGCCATTATTAAATGAACAGACAGACTTGCAATGGAATAGGATTGTATAACCTAGTGAGGGATGCCTTGTTGTTTCCAATGGTGCCTACTGCCTGTTGTCTGGAATACCAAACAAACATTTTATGTCTTTTGTATTGATGATACTAAATTTGATTGGGTTTTAATTTCCTGAAACTAAATATGTAAGGTTTCATGTTGGACACCAGATATGAAATAAAACTGTTGGATATTTAAATGTTATTGTGTACTACCAAACTTGTAGATTACAATGATTGGGTAATTGTTGTTGGGATGGTGGTCTGGTCGTCAATCAGTGTTTATAACGGTATCACATTCTCTAGGATACAGGTGTGTTTTTTGTGGGACCATTACTGACGATAAATACCCAGAGTTGATTGTGCAGGTAGATTTTTTCTCTGATTCTTGTTACCTGTTTTATCAGAATATCAAGTGCTGATGTTAAAATACAAATCATTAAAACTCTGTTGATTTGTTTTACATGTTTAGGTTACAGGGATTTTATGAACACAGACTATTAAAATATCTAAGGAAGTTACTTGAAATATGAAATGTTCCAATTAACAATCCTTGCTGACAGAACATTATAGCAATTGATTAAGATCTTCCCAATAAACGTAAACACTGGCTATGAAACTGTCACCCTCTATCTAATCAAAGGAGTTTACTGTGCTGTTTGTTCCCTATGGTGGCATTAGATTGGTATCGTGTGAATGTTCTGTATTCTTCAACAGAAGGATCTTACAATATTGCATCATGCTACCCTGTTAATAGCATAAGTTTTTTGTTGAAGACAAATTTAATTTTACTGAATATTTTATGACATTATGAAGCAAAGTTGGTCGAAATTAAACAAAGAGACACACTGAGGTAAAAAGTCAAGGTCAAAGGTCATTTTTTCACTGATGAACATTTGATATGACACTATGAAGCAACGTTGGTCAGAATTAAATAAGGAGTCAACTGAACAAAGGTCAAGGTCATTGGATCAAAGGTCAAGGTAAGTTTTGTATCTTTCCCCTGATGAATATTTCGTTATGATGCTTTGAAGCAATGTTGCTCAGAATTAAATAAGGAGTCAATTGACCAAAGGTCAAGATCACTGGGTCAAAGGTCAAGGTCAATTTTTGTATCTTTTCCCTGATGAACATTTTGTTATGTCTTTATGAAGCAAAGTTGGTTGGAATTCCACAAAGAGTCAACTGACTTATGGTCAAGGTCATTAGATCAAAGGTCAAGGTCAAATTTAGTATAATTTCACTGATGAACATTTTGTTATGACACTATGAAGCAATGTTGGTCAGAATTAAACAAGGAATCAACTGACAAAAGGTCAAGGCCACTGAGTCAAAGGTCAAGGTCAAATTTTGTATCTTTTCCCTGATGAACATTTTGTTATGACATTATTAAGGAAAGTTAGTCGGAATTCAACAGTCGGAATTCAACAAAGAGTCAACTGACTTATGGTCAAGGTCACTAGATCAAAGGTCAAGGTCAAATTTAGTATCATTTCACTGATGAACATTTTGTTATGACACTATGAAGCAATGTTGGTCAGAATTAAACAAGGAGTCAACTGACCAAAGGTCAAGGTGGTTGGGTCAATGTCAAGGTGAAATATTGTATCTTTTTACTGATGAACATTATTGTTATGTTATTATGAAGCAAATTCGTTCAGAACTTAACACCGAGTCAAATGACCTAAGGTCAAGGTAACTGGGTCCAAAGGTTAAAGGTCAAGGTCAAGTTGGGTTTTTTCACTGATGAACATTTTGTTATGATATTATGAAGCAAAGTTTGTCGGAGTCAAAGAATAAGTCAACAAAGATCAGGGTCACTGGGTTAAAGGTCAAGGTCATTTGGGTACAAAGGTCAAAGACAAAGTGGATCTCTGACTTTGACCCTGGCTCTTGATGGAGGAGGTATTTTAATTGAAATAAAACATATCAAAGCTAACAAATGAGCATTGCACTGGTATTTACATTTCTGTTAGCTTAGCAAATATGGAGGTGGAAGGAAACAAGCCTCACATCATAGTACATGTAAAATGTATATTTTGCTTCCTTGCGATTCTTTATGAAGTCCTAATATCAGACGTCAAGCTCTGCTATATGGGCAGATTGCTTCTTGATGATTATGGGGAATATATTGCCACAAGACGGAGCCCTTCCTGACCTGTCAGTATTCTAGTGCCAAAAGACGGGGCCCTTACTGACCTGTCAGTATACTAGTGCCACAAGACGGAGCCCTTACTGCCCTGTCAGTATTCTAGTGCCACAAGACGGGTCCCTTACTGACCTGTCAGTATTCTAGTTCCACAAGACGCAGCCCTTACTGACCTGTCAGTATTCTAGAGCCACAAGACGGAGCCCTTACTGACCTGGCAGTATTCTAGTGCCACAAGACGGGGCCCTTACTGCCCTGTCAGTATTCTAGTGCCACAAGACGGAGCCCTTACTGACCTGTCAGTATTCTGATTTAAAAAAAAAACTTTAGTACTACATGTAATAATACCAGTTCTCAGTAAAACATGCTTGTTGAAGATTTAGCACGCAGACATAGGATTTACAGGTCAAGCTGTTTGGGACTGTTTAACTCGGAGTGGAGTTGAAGCCCAGTTGTATGTATAGGGGTGAAAGAGTTAAATGAGTGACTTCTTCCTACATATGAACCCTCACATGCCAGGAACTTTAGAGTTGGGTATCTTTTTCAAAACAAAAAACATCTTATAAAGTAATTGTTACATAAATCAAAGGTAATTTAAGGGTTGTAAGTACCTAGGTCAGTAAATCTGATTTAGTTTATTTATAACATTTTTGTCTATCCACAACAATCACTGATTTTCACTCAATTGATCAATACATTCGTGATACTAAATAGTGTAATGTTGTATGTACCTAGTGTAATGTTATATGTACCTAGTATAATGTTATATGTACCTAGTGTAATGTTATGTGTACCTAATGTAATGTTATATGTTCCTAGTGTTATGTTATATGTACCTAATGTAATGCTATATGTAGCTAGTGTAATCTTATACGTACCTTGTGTAATGTTATATGTAGCTAGTGTAATCTTATATGTACCTAGTGTACTGTTATGTGTACCTAATGTAATGTTATATGTACCTAATGTAATGTTATATGTAGCTAGTGAAATCTTATACGTACCTTGTGTAATGTTATATGTAGCTAGTGTAATCTTATACGTACCTTGTGTAATGTTATGTGTACCTAATGTAATGTTATATGTAGCTAGTGTAATGGTATATGTACCTAGTTTAATGTTATGTTTACTTTGTGTAATGTTATATGTACCTAGTGTAATGGTATATGTACCTAGTGTAATGTTATGTTTACTTAGTGTAATGTTATATGTACCTAGTGTTATATTATATGTACCTAGTGTTATGTTATATGTACCTAATGTCATGTTATATGTAGCTAGTGTAATCTTATACGTACCTTGTGTAATGTTATATGTAGCTAGTGTAATCTTATATGTACCTAGTGTAATGTTATGTGTACCTAATGTAATGTTATATGTACCTAATGTAATGTTATATGTAGCTAGAGTAATCTTATACGTACCTTGTGTAATGTTATATGTAGCTAGTGTAATCTTATATGTACCTAGTGTAATGTTATGTGTTCCTAATGTAATGTTATATGTGCCTAGTGTTATGTTATATGTACCTAATGTAATGTTATACGTAGCTAGTGTAATCTTATACGTACCTTGTGTAATGTTATATGTAGCTAGTGTAATCTTATATGTACCTAGTGTAATGTTATGTGTACCTAATGTAATGTTATATGTAGCTAGTGTAATCTTATATGTACCTAGTATAATGTTATATGTAGCTAGTATAATCTTATATGTACCTAGTGTAATGTTATGTGTACCTAATGTAATGTTATATGTAGCTAGTGTAATGTTATACGTACCTTGTGTAATGTTATATGTACCTAGTGTAATGTTATGTGTACCTAATGTAATGTTATATGTACCTAATGTAATGTTATATGTACCTTGTGTAATGTTATGTGTACCTAGTGTAATGTTATATGTACTTATACAGGTTTATCATGTTTTCAATTTCAGGGTAAAAGTAGAACTGGATTTTTCAAACAAGCCAAGAAGGCCTACCCAATGTTCCCATACACGGAGGAGAAGATTAAGTGGGATGAGTACGGAGAAATAATAAGGTATGATTCATGTAGCTGTGTCATTGAATTAACTCAACTACTCCTGAAATTGTATAATGAACTATTCCAACCTTTAATTTGGAAGAGTTCAAATGTTTTCGTTAGGGGTGAATGAGATAATATAAATTTCTTATGAGAAACTTGGGAACGCTGAATGTAAAAATAAGTATTCTTGTTTAACTTTTTGAGCAAATTTTCTTGGTAAGGAATTAAAAGAGTATCAAACTGACTGATCTTGAGTCAAAGAAGAAATATGTGAACGTGACTAATGAAGTAGCTGTGGTTATCAGCAGGATATCTAACTTTAATACACCAAAGTCAGGGCAATCATGTTCTTCAAAAATATTTCCAGTTACAATACTATTTTGTAAAGTTTCTGTATTAAAGATGTATCACAATTTCACATGCATAGGGCATATATATAGGTGCTGCTCTGACATGATGTACGCGGTCATTCCTAACTTACTTGTGGCCATTTGTCTGTCTGTATACCCGAGTTCAGTCTGATGTACGAGGTCGGGGAAATGTCTGACAGGCCCGGGCTACGATGATGGATATCAACTCATTCCTATATCATGACTTTATGTCACAGCCTATCCCCACTGCTGGAAACCATACATCATTGGATTCAAAATATAAATAAGTCCGCTTTTGATTTAAACTCTTAGAAAATACATTGATGAAGATTTTTATCCTGGCAGATCTGGCATCGTATTTCAATAACATAGTTTAGCTTAAGTTCAACTTTTTCATTTTATCTTACCAGTAAGCATTGGTTTTCCTAAATAGAAACTTTTAGGAAAAAATATTACTTAAGACAATTTGTGATGACTTGTAATAAACAAAATAGAGAGATAGTTTGGCATAGAGCATTCCACATTATTCTGATAAATGTGTCTGAATGGGATATATGAAGTGCAGAAGTATCTATAATACATTCTTGTTAGTTACCAAATAGTGTTATGTAGTGAACGAACGATTAGTACACCAACCGTAAGGGAAATGGTTTTGGTGTGTAGTCAGAAATGGAGAGCATCAACCTCTCATAGTCTTCTGTAAAGACCTTTAGTGGAACTGCGGTCCTCATGAATAGGACTGTTTGTTCAGAGTATCCTAACAACAGCTAAGGTCAAATGAAGACAGGAGTATAGGTATTACTACTACGGTCCTCATGGATAGGACTGTTTGTTCAAAGTATCCTTACAACAGCTCAGGTCAAATGAAGACAGGAGTATAGGTATTACTACTGCGGTCCTCATGGATAGGACTGTTTGTTCAGAGAATCCTAACAACAGCTAAGGTCAAATGAAGACAAGAGTATAGGTATTACTGCTGTGGTCCTCATGGATAGGACTGTTTGTTCAAAGAATCCTAACAACAGCTAAGGCCAAATGAAGACAGGAGTATAGGTATTACTGCTGTGGTACTCATGGATAGGACTGTTTGTTCAAAG